CTGACACACTTCATACTTCCTTTCTAATGATTCTTGCAGTAATGTAGAGGCGAACTAATTGAAACCGATCCGTAAAATACCCGGGCCCCGGCGCGTCCGTATGTACCTGGGCGGGCGGACAGTGCTCCCAGCACCGTGGGGATACCTGGAGCCTACGGTGGTCTGAATGTAGTGGGCTTGTTAGATAATGACAATGAACTTTATTGCATATCCACGCCCTACATGGGCCTAATGCACTAAGCTGGATAACATTAGGTACAGGTATAGAGGTAACAAGTGTTATACTTCTGTGTTGTAACTATAGGTACAGGTATAGAAGAAACAAGTAGTTATACTTCTGTGCTATAACTATAGGTACAGGTATATAAGTAACAAGTGTTATACTTCTGTGCTACGTCTCTAACTACAGGATCTATCTACATGATCTCCTCCTTTCCCGTTAGTGTTTTAAGGTATACTGCTTTCTAATACCCTTCTAATTGTTGATATCTTGTATCGCGTGAAGATAATTATCTGGCAGTATTACGTTCTACATCCGGGATATTACATATATGCTGATTACCGCCGTGTCAAAAGCTACATCTTGCGATCTTTAAGTAAATAGCATATTGCTATGTTAAATCAACATAATGTGCGTATAATTAAATAAAGCTATTGTTTGATTAAGACAATTTGAGGCTTTTGTTGGCAGATTTGCTACCATATAACAATAATGTAACTATGATCTTGAAGTATAGCACCGCAATAGAAAGTGTATAAACGTAGTACACAGCAAGTTGACATGTCAACAGTGACATCTAGCGACATGTAGCGAAAATGGTAAGAAAAAATACATCAGTAGTGCTCACATTTTAAACGCTTCTTTCTTAAGTCTTCCATAATCTTGTGCTTGCAAACCCTTAGAAGTACGCCACAAGATGTAATAATCGTAAGGCAGGACGAAAAAGACCTAGGACGTCAGTCTAAGTACTAGTAGACACAATCGCTACAATTCTTGACAGTCTTATTTTCTTCCCATTGTTCTAGCTACACTTTTTCAAACCCTGTCAAAACGAATCCACAACAAAGTAAATGTATTTTTTCAATGCAGGTGGCATCTTGGTTTCTGCAACTGGAACTACACTCCCACCTATCGCGGGTTTGACTCTTTCTGTGGCTTCTACAATGGGCAGGATGACTACTACAAGCATACTGTTCGTAAGTGCCACTTCGACCTAGAAAAATGTTGTTCTTCCGGTTTTCCCGACCAATCCTAACAAAAACCGCGCCGACCAGAGACGTTTTTATCGACTGCTGGTTACGCTATAAGATTTTCGATCTGATATGTGAATTTTAGACCCCATAGATTATAAAAAAACGACATTCGACGTATTTTTAGGCATTTTTTTTCTTAAAAAAAGTGAAACGAATTGTGAAATATTGTCATGACACATTGTTCTCTATTTGTTGGACCATCTTTGGCGAAATTTAAAATACTTATAAAGAAGAAAATCTCGTACGTAAAGACCCTATCTTTTTTAGGAATGAAACCGGTAACGCAACATCAATTTTCCTAGGCTACACTTACATACATACATACATACATACATATAAACTTACTAAGTAAACACGTAACGATAACAAAAATTTTGAAATATCATATTTCAAACTTCATAATATACAGGATAGGATGAAAAAAGTAAATATATATGGCAAACTTAGCTAATGAGCCAAGTCACAGTATGATGCTCTGTGGGTAACTGTAAAACTTATTTAAGGCCTTAAATTCGCCACATTGTACATGCGTACTTTATTTGCGAACTCTGCCGATTCCTTTAAATCTTTAATAGCAGCTTTACCGCTGTAACTGGATGTGTAAAAAGAGAAGAGTCTCTTTATCAGGGGTGCCAGAGTATACAGTGACATTTACGAAATACAGTACAATGGTATGATATAGTGCAATTTTACGGGATACAGTGCAATCATATTTACATGTAGTATAATTATATTTCAGTCCATACCATGGTATATATAGAATACAACACGGGGTATTCCGTATCGCCCGAGGTATCGGCCCGACCGCGGGTCGGATCGCCCGAGTGCCGCAGGCCGGAGGACGATCCGACTCGCGGGAGGGCCGGGACCGAGGGCGATGCGGAATACACCGTGTTGTATTTTATTTATGTCATACCCACCCAAGAAAACACGCCTTTCAATGTAAGATGAGCCAAAAGTTGGTGCCACTGAACCCTAAAATGCAACAACATCAATTCCAACGACCGGATTCTGTATTCGAATTTTCGAAAGGGGCGCACGCGGTTAGGGCGACACGCGTTCGAATCGTTTCATGGAAGCCATGGAAGCGTTCGATAACGGGTTCCGGACCGGGCCGTACCGTAACGTACGGCCCGGTCTGAAACCCGTTATCGAACGTTATCGCGGCCCGGGTATGATATAAGGATGAAATATATTGTGTTCTCTCATGTTTCTCCTCCTCCTCCAAACAGTCAAAGGGATTCAACTCTGCCATCATTCAGCCAAATGACTTGAAATTTGGCATGGAGGTTGAGTGGGCCAATACCCCCAGGCGTTTTTTTTTTTATTTTTTT